CTATGACAAAGTTGCACTTTTGGCCATCCAGCTTTCCTGTCACGTAGACACTATGTGTGCTTGCCATTTAACACTTAGCTGTTGGGACTTTCACTATAGGGATTGATGGGTGTCCTCAACACCAACCACTACTGGTCTCCCCGAGGCTGACTTATTGGTAGTATTCTTCTTACACTGGCTCCTCATATGTCCTTGCTCCAACAACCCCTTTGGGTAGCAGCCTTTCCTGCCATGGCATCTTCCGTGTTGAAATTGCTGGCAATGAGCTCTCTTGTGCCCAGGTTTGTTACAGTGCCAGCAAAGTCCCTCAAACTTCTCTGAAAGCTGCTCTTTGCTGGCCTTGAATTCTGATGACTGTACCAACCTTGGAACCTTTGTGCTGGACTTAACGTAGGATTCAATTCAAGAGCTCTAGCCATTGCATCTTGCATAGTAAAGGGGTGTGCTTGCTTTACTTGTATCTTCAGCTGTGGACTGTCCAAGGCATCTACAAACTGATCCCTCAGCAACAGCTTGAGGACATTGGATGGTGCAGTTGGGTAGGTCTTGTGTGCCATACTTTCCAACTCCTGTGCCAGCTCTTGCAGGCTCTCCCCCTTAGCACGGACTCAAGTCCTATACCTAGCCCTGCAGACTTCGGACTGATTTTGAGTTCCATACCTGAGCTCTGGAGCAGCTGCCAGTGCTCTATAGTTGTACCTGTCGTCTGCTGACAACTGTCCAAGCATTTCCAGTGGTTGTCCCTTCAGGCTCGTTGCCAGGTACACTGCTTTTTCCTCCTCCATTAATCCATTCATTTCTGCCAGGAGCTCAAACTGTGCTCTATATGCTTCCCATGGTGCCTTCCCATCAAATTCCTGTGGCTTCCTTCATACTAGATCACCCCTATTGCTGACACTCATGTCTGGAATATGACTTCTGGCAGGACTGAAGATGTCTGCATTAGGGTTTAGCAGAGGGGTCTGGAAGGAGCTTCCTGTTGTCTGTGGCTGATTAGGTCCATGGTTAATGTATCCTCCCTGTGTAAAAGACAGTAAATCGTCCTTTGACGTATTTAATTCACTTTGAAATTTACTAATCTTTTACATTTGTATTTCTTGTTTCCTGTCTTGTTCCAGTTGCCACTGGTGCTGGTTTTCTTGCCACTGCTGTAGTCTCTCTTCTTGTTTCTTTTCTTTTTCCTCCAACAACCACTATAATCTCTCTTCTTGTTTCTTTTCTCCTTCTTCTTGTTTATTTTCTTGTTTGTTTTCTCGTTCTTCTTCTTTCTTTTCTCGTTCTTCTTGTTTATTTTCTTGTTTGTTTTCTCGTACTTGTTTATTTTCTTTTTCCTCCAACAACTGCTGTAATCTCTCTTCTTGTTTCTTTTCTCCTTCTTCTTCTTTCTTTTGCTGTTCTTGTATTTCTGCCATCAAATTTGCTAAGTCCTAGTTTGATTTGCCACTTCTCGTTTCCATCTCTTTTTTTTTCCGTTCCACTCTCTGACACCAATTTGTTACGTCTCTGGTTGTTTGTTAATTTCCGGTATAAATTCTTTCCGAGGAACTTCAGCCATTCAAGTCATTTCTTAATTAAAACTAGTTTATTCTTTCTCGATACAACTTTTTAGTACACAGAATTTCGACAGTCAATAGGTTTGCAATCTCGATAACAAAACCCACACTTTATATTACCGTCACTACCGTTCGCTTGACTCAATTATCTATTTCTATATCAATCTCTTCGACCGCGCTGGTTTTTCTCGCCAGGCTTATATACTAAAAAGAGGGCGTCCTGAACAAACTCGGTCTTCCCCGATAATTAATGATCATTTGAGAAACTCCAGCGCGCATGCTCCCAGCGTCGCGTGACTTCCGCTGTCGTAACAATATCCAAAAAAAATTGATAATTATTTAGAAAACTGTATTTAAATGACAAAATTTCCACTATTTGATCAAATCTCCTAGTAACTAAAATCGCACATAATATTCATAAAATATTTATGTAACATATCACTTAAAATTATATTGTGAGTTTAAAGCAACAACAACAAGCTTTAACGAGTGTTTTGATGCTCTTGATATTCTTGAGTTCCTATCGTTGTAATAATGAGATCCATATACGATTTAAAAAAAAAATAAACAAACCAATCCCATGGGGTTAATGTGCATGACATAAACTGCAACACTAAATATTAGATTAATGTATAAACTACAACGAAAACAAACTTATTGTTTAATTATTTGAAAAAAAGCAACAATTTAAAATGCATATTTCATCCCTTTCTTCCAAAAATGAAGGATATTCATAATTTATATTCTGTTGGATTTACTTGTTCATAGCATGATATTATTATTACATAAACTCAGCCCATATTTAACAATTTTTATAAAAAAATAAGATGTGTTCGTTCAGTGTTATCTCATAGATTGTTGTCATGGTGATTCTAAATGCATCGGCTGGCGTCTTATTGATCGCCAGATCTTCACGTGCTGCAGGGAAACGTGCTAAGAAGCCTTGCGCTTTTTACACATTCAGAGCACTGGGGTCGTCTTGAAGGTCAACTGTTTTCACCTCTATGATAGTAGTTTAAATTACACGTTCCAAAGGTGGCTGTTTTGTTGTTTCTAAAATTTATTTTCTTTCAGCAGTAACAACAATAAAAACTCAATATTTACAGTGTGTACCTAACACAGGATAACTGAAACTTTGTATAATAAATGTCAAGTTTAGGACTATCATTACAACAGGATGGCCGATTGTTTCCTATTGACTAACGTGTTCGGGTTGTGAATTAGACACTTCATGATTCGTCTTCCGTTGCCACAAAAACACACTCCGCGTTTGGGACTGTTACTAAGCAAAAACACACTCCGCGTTTGGGACTTTTATTAAACAAAAACACGCCCCGCGTTTGGGATGCATTATAAAAGTATCGGTCAAATTTCACTCTTCAGTCAGATAAGAGCAACCAAAGAATTTGCGGTGGGTGCTGTTAGCTACCTGTCTTTTCTGCTATCAGTTCAGCGTTAGAAACAGACAGCCCTGATGTAGCTTTGCGTAAGATCTGTGAAACAAACAAAAACAAGAAAATACCATATATTATGTATGTAGCCTGATTTTCTATTTACACAAGCTTGTGTGATACAAATTTCACATATTTAATCAAGTCTGACGTCAACGATTTAATGAGAGGCTGTTATTTAAAGGTGATGTAAACGCTTTTTTGAAGTGTTCTATTTATAGTCGGGTTCTCTTCTCATACAGCATAGTATTTAAGGTTCTCATTTGACGTTTTCAGTTTTAAGCAACATCAAATTTCCTGACAATAATTAAGTTAGGGCTTTTACATTCGAATTTACTAGTTGATGTTCCTACGCACTTTTTCTAATCACGTGGTAGACACTATAAAGACTAAAAGTGGTTTCTTCTCCACAACTACCCATGCTGAAGTAGGAATAAAACCGTTCTGAAATTCTTGGTTAGCTCAAACTGGAAACTACAACGAACGGAAATTGCTGTCACCTTTTTCCAGGGTTTCTGAAGCAAGGTGAGAAATTTGGGCCTTTTTTTTTCCGTGTTTAAAAGTACGATATGTTTATTATCACGAATGGCTTTGCTTTGCTTCCCATCCACACAGAACCTCTTGTTCGTGTGGCACAAAACATAGCCAGTTCGTACACTTGTTACGTAACCATCTCAGGACCGTGCAACGCAAATCAAATTTTAAACTGGAAACGTCATTGCACGGAAAGGGGAAGTGCCATTTATTCCAAATCCTTAACATAAACTTGCGCTTAAATTGTAACCAAAAATCAATAAAGCAATCAATACAGCAGCCATCCGTGCTCACTTTCTTACTTATAAAGATAATAATGTATTGTTTCGTCAGTTCAGTATCCTTCGTGATAATTACATATTTGGACATAAACCTACTAATATCTCACGAGGTTTAATGGTATCATTGATGATAACTGACAATAACGTGTCTCATAACGTATAGCGAAGTATATGAAATTTAAACTTCTGGGCTGATGAGCTCCATCTAGTTTTTTCCTAAGTAAATTTACCCATTTTGTTCAATTTGTTTGGCTGTTTCTCAATTTTACGCAAGGGTTATCTACGCATAGCCGTTCCTAATTTTGAATTTATAGAGTAGAAGAAAGGTAGCTGGTCAACAACACCCACCACCAACTATTGGGCTACTCTTTCAGACCTAGTAGTGAAATTTGGCCGTCAGTTTTATATCGTACCTTTAGCTTCACAATCCGGTCATGCGAAGCCCTAGCTCCGTCTGCCTCCTTTTTTTTTTTTTTTTTTTT